TGGGTATAAGAGCGGTTTCCCTTCCACACCTGGTAAGCAGCACGCAGGGGACAGCACCATGTGGAACATATGCAGGCTACACAGATGGGACTTGCTGCTGATAGGTATATGGCTCAACAGGACAATCCTGCTCAGAGTTCTTTCACTAACAGGGTTAAAAATCCCATATACTGTTACGTGGACCGTGACAAGCCAGGCCTTAGCAAAGCATAGTTCTACAACACATTTCTCTTGCATTCTTTCCTTCTGCCTTTTAAAAGAGACAGACATGGCCATTGATTCACTAGATAATTCCCCAGTCAGTAAACACACAGTGTTTAGGTCAAGAACAATGGTGACTCATTCTAAAAATGTTTCTATGTAAAATGGGTAAGTATTCTTCTCAGATCTCTTCTCTATTTTCCACGTACACACACACACACCCCTCAGATGTCTGCTTACCTTCACACGTTATGAATCTGTTTTTAAATAACCCCACACAAAATAAGACTAACTATATCACAGATACAATGGAAATATAAGCTCTGTCAAATCCTCCCCCATCTCTAATAAAGTAGGTTCAAAATGTTTAATTTTTGTGTTTAAGAATCTTAAATGCCCATCGTACTACTTCATGTTTGCTGTTAAGTGTCGCTATACCTGATTTTATTTTGTATGGATTAAATCTGTTTCTATTTTTCATTTAAATTGAATTCCTACTGAAAAAGTGAATAGAAGATGCTTGTGTGTTTTTTCTTCCTACCCTCAGTTTTCTTCCATGAAAGGTTAAATGTAGCAGTTCCAGCTGGCTTATTCGCCGTTGCCCATCTATCTTGTGTGTGTAACTTTTCCTCACAATTCCAGTACATCCTATTCAGATTTCTGCGGTGTCTCCAATTGAACTGTTTGGTCAGAGAGAATGGATACAGAAATAGGGTGTCTAGTGTAAAAATTTATCAAAAGTTTTAGAACTTTATTTTTCTTATAAATGACTACTGTATTCCGTAAATAAAGGTTTAACTTTTGCCTTGTGTACCTTTATCAAACTTTAAATATGCTGTAAACCGTATAACAGATTTATCAGTGCAGAATAATATACCATTTATTTTCATTCTTCACACTTTTATATAAGACTTTTGATTAACTCGGCCTTACTTAACAAAAGTGTGTTGTGTTTGTTTGTTTTTTTATTTTATAATCTGTTCAAGGAAGCATCTCTTCACAGCGGTTCTCAAACTTTTGTACTGGTGACCCCTTTCACATAGCAAGCCCCCCTTATAAATTAAAAACACCTTTTTATATATTTAACACTATTATAAATGTTGGAGGCAAAGCAGGGTTTGGGATGGAGGCTGACAGCTCACAACCCCCCATGTAATAACCTCGTGACCCCCTTAGGGGTCCCGACCCCCAGTTTGAGAACCCCTGATTTATATCTTATTATCCTAATCTAAATTACCTTGTATTTTAAATTGCTCAGCCCTAGGAAGCAGTATTTGCTAACAATGTAATTCACTCTTTCACTGCTGGCTTATCTTTATAGCTATAAATTATTCTTTTTGCTACTACTAGAACTATCATGTAGTATTTGTAGTATTTGTTTTGCAACGTTTTTAATATCGAAGTCTCATTTTAACAGAATGGAATAAATTGTAAATTTAGTCCTGGTGAATGCTAATGGATTGACAGGCATTGACAGTATTTATTCATTAAAATAGTCATAGCATGAATATCAGCAGTGTAAACTTCCTGTGCACCTCTCCTTTAAAGTGCCTCTAAACCCTGTTATGAAGGGACTTCTAGGAGGAAGGTCAAGTTCTTGGTGTCTGCTAAGACAGCCATCAAAAGTGACACTTGCCTGAGGATCTATTCTGGTTTTATTATTTGATATTAAACACTTTCTTTGTCTCTACACTGACAATAAAAGCTAACCTCTCCAGTATTTACTTAGAACAGGTGTAGGTAAAGCAAGTGGTACTTATAATTTCAAAGTAGTATGTCCCACTCTGGATCCGTTTTTGAGACTGGGGCAAAAGAGCGCTTAAAATGAGTCCATTAAATAAAGCAGGCATGCAATCCAAAGGATCCCTTTGGTAATCTAATTGTGAGAATCTGGAAATATTCAGATACTGTGGGGATGAGTGTGGTATAAGAATTTATATAAAATAGAAACTCCTTTAAAAAGTGGAAGTTAAATCCTAGTGAGGAAAATAGAAAGGAGCATAAACTCTGTCAAATGAAGTGTACAAATATAATTAGGAAGGCCAAAAAAGAATTTGAAATATCTAGCCAAAGACTCAAAAAGTAATAGCAAGGATGATAAGGCCATTGCAGAGAAACTAAATGAATTCTTTTCATCGGTCTTAATGGCTGAGGATGTGAGGGAGATTCTCAAACCTGAGCCATTCTTTTTAGGTGACAAATCTGAGGAAATGTCTCAGATTGAGGTGTCATTAGAGGACGTTTTGGAACAACTTGATAAACTAAACAGTAATAAGTCACCAGGACCAGATGGTATTCACCCAAGAGTTCTGAAGGAACTCAAATGTGAAATTGCAGAACTACTCACTGTCGTCTGTAACCTATCATTTAAATCAGCTTCCGTACAAAATGACTGGAGAATAGCTAATGTGACGCCAATTTTTAAAAAGGGCTCCAGCAGTGATCCCGGCAATTACAGGCCTGACTTTAGTACCGGGCAAACTGGTTGAAACTATAGTAAAGAACAGAATTTGTTGGGGAAGAGTCCACATGGTTTTTATAAGGGAAATCATGCCTCTTTGAGGGGGTCAACAAGCATGTGGACAAAGGGGATCCAGTGGATATAGTGTACTTAGATTTTCAGAAAGCCTTTGACAAGGTCCCTCACCAAAGGCTCTGAAGCAAAGTAAGCTGTCATGGGATAAAAAGGAAGGTCCTCTCATGGATTGGTAACTAGTTAAAAGATAGGGTGACTGGGCAACAAAATGGCAGATGAAATTCAGTGTTGATAAATGTAAAGTAATGCACATTGGAAAACATAATCCCAACTATACATATAAAATGATGGGGTCTAAATTAGCTGTTACCACTCAAGAAAGAGATCTTGGAGTCATTGTGGATAGTTCTCTGAAAACATCCACTCAATGTGCAGCAGCAGTCAAAAAAAGTGAACAGAATGTTGGGAATCATTAAGAAATGGATAGATAATAAGAGAGAAAATATCATCTGGCCTCTATATAAATTCATGGTATGCCCACATCTTGAATGTTGTGTGCAGATGTGGTCGCCCCATCTCAAAAAAGATATATTGGAATTGGAAAAGGTTCGGAAAAGGGCAGCAAAAATGATTAGGGGTATGGAACAACTTCCGTATGAGGAGAGATTAGTAAGACTGGGACTTTTCAGCTTGGGAAAAAGAAAAAGACAACTAAGGTGGGATATGATAGAGGTCTATAAAATCATGACTGCTGTTGAGAAAGTAAATAAGGAAGTGTTATTTACTCCTTATATCACAAGAACTAGGGTAATTAATGAAATTAATAGGCAGCAGGTTTAAAACAAACAAAAGGAAGTCTTTCTTCACACGACGCAGTGTCAACCTGTGGAACTCTTTGCCAGAGGATGTTGTGAAGGCCAAGATTATAACAGGGTTCAAAAAGGAACTAGATAAATTCATGGAGGATAGGTCCATCAATGGTTATTAGCCAGGATAGGCAGGGATGGTGTCCCTAGCTGCTGTTTGCCAGAAGCTGGGTATGAGCGACAGGGGATGGATCACTTGATGATTACCTATTCTGTTCATTTCCTTCGGGGCACCTGGCAATTGGCCATTGTCAGAAGACAGGATACTGGGCTAGATGGACCTTTGGTCTGACCCAGTATGGCCGTTCTTATGGGTAAGTGATATATTTTTAGGATATATTAAAAATCATTTTCTTTTCAGTTCCTATAGGTAATTGCTTGGTACTTTTCTGTTCCTGACTTATTTTAAACAGCATAACAGTGGCTGGATGATAATGTTGAGAAAATAGGCCTGTTTCAACCACTGAAAAGCAGCAGCGATTGTCATTTTTCATAAGAAAGTAAGTGTCTTTTTAATCTGTGACATTCAACATCAGCACTACTACAGTTTAAACATATTTAAGTCCCCCAATTCCTAAAAAGAATGGAAAATTACTCCATTCCCCCAAAAAACCTCACCACGCATGTTATTCTTAAAAAGTTTTCATTTTTATTTTTCACCATAGTACAAAAATACAGTACAATGTGATGGCAAGACATTCTCCAAAAACATTCCGCAAAAAAGGGGGAGAACCCCATAATGCTTCAATATAATCTAACTTCCCTTAATAAAACAATTGAAAGATGAACATACAAGAGATAGGTGGAGTTTCAACCTGAATGCAAATAAAGTCAAGTCACAAAGAGTTCCTACAAGAAAAAGAATGTTCAGAGTGACTAATCCACATGCTACTCTTAGATATTAATGAAAATAACTATTTATGTTAGTGTTCATGGCAGAATTATTGATTTGATTTTTTTTGGCTTTTCAAAATACAGCAGGCTTGACTCACATCTCCTACTCATGAGTATCCCCACTGAAATCAAAAGGATGACTTAATGTCAGTCAAATGTGGGGGAGCAAGCACTGATTGGAGAACAAGTGTTGGCTATTTGAAAATGTAAAAATCATTCCTCTTAAGAAGAGGGTAAGATCTAGGCCTCTGGATACTAGTGGTCATTGTTTACATGGACAGATCTGATGTATCCATTCAAGATGAGGTTGTGTATGCATGTACATCAGCTGTCAATAAGCACTGAAGTGTAAACTAGACGGGGAGGAGAAGATAACACTGTATTTGATGGAGGTGTGTGAAAAATCAGATAGTGTTTAACCTTCCAAGTTACTGAGAGAAGAATTACGTCCTTCCAGTACAGCTACATTTCTTGGTATGTTTAATGGTTTAAAAGAAAAAAAAAGAATCATTTATCCTTTCAGAGCTTCAGGGTGATGGAAAAGGAATGTTCAATATATATATATATTATAATTCATCTCCAAGATGTTTTTGTTTGAAAGCATCCCCTGTCAGCTTCTCTTGGGCTTCCTTCATTCCTTGGACAACTGTCAAATTAAATACATAGAATATCAGCTGGATCATTACTACACATGATATGGATCAAGTAAGGAAGTGTATAATGAAAAGTATTTTTATCAACCAATGGTGCAATTTTAAAGAATAAACCCCTTGGAAGTAGCCTGCAAAAGAAAAAAGTGAGGGTTATGCTCTTTTTGGCCTCTATATGATGTATAAAGAAGCGTTAAATATCTCCCACCCTCCCCTTTCCCATACCATTTGTAAGTTCATGCCTCATCTACCCTATTTTTGTTGGCTGACTCTATGGACAAAGGAAGAACTAGCAGGATTATGACATCAGATAATAGGCACATGAAACCTGATAATTTGAGAAGGAAGTGATTTTTAACCACTTTTTTGCTCACAACTTAAATGGCTGAGATACACTTGGGTATCTGTATTTAAAGTTCAACACTCCCCTAACAATCCGCATCTCTAAAACCCTCTCCAGTATTACCAAGGAAGACAAGTTTTGACATTCCTGATATGTCTAAGGTAAAAGATAAATTAAAAAAAATAATCTTGTATGAAGGCTGAGAGTGTTTTTGTTTTGTTTTGTTCTTTTAAAATGTCACAGCTGCAAAATTCAACAGAAATCTATTTTTCTCTTTTATGGGTCACCTTTAATATAACAGAGCAAAGCTTTTCCTGCATCTATTCCCATCAGCATTCCTAAGTGATTCTGCTGTGGTTTGTTACTTCAATGGCAGTTTCGTGCCTGCTTCTCTCAGGCGCCATTGAAAAATCTCTACCAGAACAATTAAGAGGAATTGAGGTTTTTTAATTCAGAATATCATTAGAAAGATTCCCTCTGCTTTACCATGCACAAAATACACTGTCACAGCTCTCGGCCTTGTTGGCTCTCTCAACAGCAAGGCTGAGCAGTGAACCTGAACTATTCTCTCATAGGCAGGTGGCCTCTCCAGGGTTGAGGTAAACAAGTGGGCCGGCATGGGGAAGCCTGCACTGCTCTACATGCTGCTGTGATTCAGTCTCCAAGACAACCAACACACCACTGTTTGCAATGTACCAGTAAATTGCATGAAGAGCTAAGTGCATTCTATGAGTGGGGCTTAGTTTTCCTCAAGATCAGGTATGATGCTAATGTAATGGACTATAGGTCTGGCAAACCCTTAGAGAGGTCTTTTTTTTTTTTTTTTCCTTGTTATTCCTCTTCATCACCCTCCAAAGAACAGAATGGCTACTCTTCCCAACTGATTATTTTAGGGCCGTGTCTACAATCTCCCACCAGATCATCTCCGCTGGTGTTAGCAGTCTTGGGAGTCATAATGTAGACTGGCACAGCTGTAATCAATCAGATCCGCTCTTAACATGGTTAGATGACATGGTTCTTAAAATACTAGCAGCAACTGGTCTATACTAGGGCTCTGAAGGCTGCTGATACTGATAGAGTTGGGCTGGCAAGATATTTTTGAAAAAAGTTTCCATAGCGTAGACAGGGCCCAAGAGATTCACAATTAGACATTTCTTGATTTGAGAACAGAGCGTTGTTAATTAACCAGCTTATATCACACATAACAGGGCCACATTGCTCACAGCTAGCACCTGGTCCTAATGGCTATTTAGATACTTTAATGAAGAGATAGAAAACATAAGGTCAATTAATTCTTCTTAAATGAGGTTGTCCTCTTGCAGTTGTGTGAAAAGGGAAAGTACACAAACGGAGAAGTGTCCACATTTACATCAGAAGTCACAGACGGATATGTAACATCAAAGGCTGAATTTTAAATAACGAGAAATGCTTTTATTTCACGTCATGATTCTGTAATAGAGATCTATGCATCCACCCACAAGGTGCAAAAAAGCCATTCATTCGCCTTATTTGTAACAGCTTCCAGCTGTGCTGTGAACTATAGGTTACCTCCACTCAAAAACCAAGCTTGCATTAGCTGCCATTCCTATGACATACCTGCAATGCACTCCCACTCAATTCAAATTTAGAGCTCATTCTCACGTACCTTGATCAGCATTGATGTAGAAATATTTGTAGCTTGGGTTTCCTTTCTCATTTATAATCTCTGGATGGACCTTCCCACTGGGATCTGTGAAACGAGAAAGTGATTAAAATGTGTAAGTGGTGAGGATGACAAAGTAGTCCTATAAGAGGCTGTAACAATAGTGAGCATGCCTTACCCATGAAAAGGATTCTGGGAATATAACCACCATCAGGGCTAAAAGTTTCATCCTTTGGCTCTTCTTCATCCTAGGGTTGCAAGACAGACGTAAGACAACATTCTGCTTTCTAAGCAAGGGATCTAACAAAATGCAACATTTACTTTAAAGCTATTTTCTTCCAATGGCTGTTATAAAATGGTAGTTTTAATGAACATGAACAGCTTGAAAAGAAGATAAATGACTGCAAAAGCCTCTACTTTTGCCAACAAAGGAAAAAGGTCACCCAACAAGTAACAGTTGTAAAGATAATTTGTAAAATTAAATCAAATATTTTCACCAATTTACATTAAATGGACTCACTATTTTGGTACTGGAATGTTTTATAGGTAATAAATGTGTATAGAAAAGCAATTTCCTTTCTTATTATTGGGGAATAGTACAATGTACAGATTGTTAAAAATAAAATGGAAGAGAATCAGCTGCATGAATAAAACCACATAACAATACAGTAAAGGTTTTATTTTTTAAACAGTCAGTTGTATCAGTCAATACTTTGTATCTATTCAATAATGCTAAGAATTTAGTTAGGAAGGGATGAAGTCAGGAGAAATAAATAATTATAAGAAATAAGGGACAAATGCTCAGTTACAAAACAGTAGCATGGACATAAACTGTAGGGAAGCCTACCTCAAGGTTTACCATAATAAAATTATGGGCAAGTTCGGAGATCTCCTTGGATTCAGCAAATTTTGGCTTTAAAGCTAAGAAGAAAAAGAAGGGAGGGGGGGAGAGAAGAGAAAACTGTAAGAAAAAAACCAACATCATTCAGACCTACAGCAAAATCACCACTCCATCCCTTCTTCTAGAGGTTAGGTGCTTGTCACTGAATAGTAAGTAACCAAATCTTTGTCTCAAATTACTGAACCCATAACCCAGAGTGAAAGCTAACCAGCCCAATCCTCAGTGATCAGTCAGATGATGAATACTGGCCAAAAATAGTCACATGGGTAATTTTTGAACCAATCATACAGAAGCAATGTCACCTAAACCACCCAATCCACCTCACCTAAATTTGTAGACCTATGTCATTATGGTTAGCCAGTTCCATCATATCACTGAACAAGACGAAAATCTAACCATCCACTGAGAAAGACCAGTTTGGAATATGCAGGTTTACTGTTCTTTCAAACTTTTATAATTTTCCATACCAAGGATTAGGCCTTCAATAGAAATGGAAGGTACCTCCCATTTGGTGTGTGTCTTTTTAAAAAAACAACAACAATAAAATTATAGCATGGATTTGGACAGCTATTAATTTATTGCATTGAAGATTTCTATTTGTGCACTACTATACTGTTCTGAGCAAAAAGCAAATATAACACATGCTATGCTTCAAATGTAAATAATAATTGACTTGTATAAAGAAACCTTCCATTAAGGATTTTAAAGTGCTCTAGAATTAAATTCACATACCTTTGCAGGCTCCACACCAGGACTTGTGGATGATAATCATTAGAGGCAAACCACTTTAGAAAAAAACAAAGCACAACTGACATCAATTCTAAGGCACTTAACAAGACTGCATTCCTCAATGAAACTCTGAAAATGCACTTTCCAGTAATTTAAACTTTTAAAGAAGGCCCTAGCTACTGGAAAAAGTCATAGATGTAAACTGATTCTATTGTGCTTCCAAAGCTTTGTTTCCTTGCTAAAGTCTTCCCAAGTTATAAACATCAGCACCAAATAATTCAATAAAATGCCATTGTGACACTCTGTAAGTCAAAATAGGAATCTGGAACCCCCATATTCACCACTGTGATATGATTATATTTTGTACAAAGTATGCCTTGTGAGGTATCATTTGAGAAGTTATGATTGGTTGAACATTACTATTCCGTTGAATTATGTGTGTTACCATTGTATCTGAAGTTATGAAGTTTTGCTGTGTGTGTGTGTTACTGAAATATGTTGAGTCTGGGAAACGCCCACAACTAGACGTTCATTGGCAACAGAGGAGCAACTAACACTGACAAGATAGGTTTCAGATTGGTAGCCTGTATCAGCAAAAACAACGATGAGTCCTTGTGGCACCTTTGAGACTAACAAATTTATTTGGGCACAAGCTTTCATGGGCTAGAACCCACTTCATCAGATGCAAGACAAAACAGATTTACATCAGGATCAGTCACACGTGTTGATGGCCCATTAAGAAGAATCCATTTTCCCAGTGACTCCTCAGAGAGGGCATGTACACAATGGGGCTAACCCCCACTTCCCTGCAAGGATCTTTCTAGCACCTGGACAGAAAGTATAAATGAGGGTCAATGACATCACCACTGGACTTTTCTCCTCCCCCTATTCAACATCTGGAAGATTGTTTGGAAGACAAAGGCTTTGAACTGGGGAGATTGGCAGGCTGAGAAGAGAATTCAGCCTGTGATTAAGAACTGTAAACTGCCTGGAACATCCAGTGGGGTCAGAAAAACTGCTTGATTCAAATCTTGTTTAGTCTGATAAAGTGTAGAATTTAGACTGTAGTTTTCTTTTAATTTCTTATGTAACCAACATTGACCTCTATGCCTAACACATATAATCTATTTTTTGTAGTTAATAAACTTATTTTAATGTTTTATCCTTACCAGTAAATTTGTTTGAAGTACTTGGGGAATCTGCTCAGATTACAAAGGCTGGGGCACATCCATTATCCTTCGACGAAGTAGTGAACTAATTAATGAGTTTGCATTGTTCAAGAGAAGGTCTCGAGCAGTTAAGGCGGTATATTTCTGGGGTGCAAGACTTGGGAGCTGAGGGATTTGCTGGTGTCTCCATTTCTGTATAATTCATGAGTAGCTTCGAGAGCATTCATGCAATTTAGTTGGGTATGTCTCTGCATGCTGTTGGCTGAGTGATCACAGCACCTGAAGGGGTTTGCTACTTGTCACTACAACGGCACTGTAAGTCAGCCGAGGGAGGAGAGTTAAGGGGGCACAGTGGTCCGACAGTTCCAGGTTGTAGCCCCGGGGTATGTCACAGCCATCCAACAACTTTTCCAACGTTCAAATTCTCTAACCTCCTTTGCATTAAATTCAATCTGTGTTAGGCAATTAGACAGAAGGACCTTGAGTGCACTAGGAATTTTTCCTAACGTTTCCCAGTTTCTGGAAGTCACCTGGTAGGGCCGGCAGGAGCACTACAGTAAACTGCCCTGAGCAAAACAGACATAACACATGCTACATTTTAAATGTAATGTTCACATTTATAGCTAGGTAATAATTGGCATGCATATAGCACATTTAACCATCGTGTCTCATAGCTCTGCTCTGAGCAAGGCTAGCAGACACAGTGCTTACTATGCCAACAGCCACCTGGAGCCCGGTCTTCGCTAAGACTCTCACTGTTTCTGCTACCAGTGGTAGGAAATCCCGGAATTCAGTAAACACAGATGGCAAACTCTGTTTACTGCCAACAGTTACAAAAAAAAAAAAAAAAATATGAAGCAGTTAAAAATTAATGAATAAGCTGATTGTTCTGGTCTTCAGCCATCAATCTCATTCTCTAAGTGGTAATGATGGCTATTGGTATAGTTACACGGCAGCTATTCACCCTGTCAGACACTAAAAATCTATGCTGTACTATAACAGGAATGAGGTCGTGGTAACAGAATGTTAAGAACATAAGAACGGCCATACTGGGTCAGACCAATGGTCCATCTAACCAAGTATCTTGTCTTCCAACAACAGCTGGTGCCAGATGCTTCAGAGGTAATGAACAGAACAGCGCAATTATCAAGTTGTCCAGTCTCAGCTTCTGGCAAAAGGTTATCAAAAGATAATTTCATGAGCCCACTCCCATTCCCTTTCTCTAGACCAGGGGTTGGCAACCTTTCAGAAGTGATGTGCCGAGTCTTCATTTATTCACTCTTATTTAAGGTTTCGCGTGCCAGTAATATATTTTAATGTTTTTAGAAGGTCTCTTTCTATAAGTCTATAATATATAACTAAACTATTGTTGTATGTAAAGTAAATAAGGTTTTAAAAATCTTTAAGAAGCTTCATTTAAAATTAAATTAAAATGCAGAGCCCCCCGGACCGGTGGCCAGGACCCGGGCAGTTTGAGTGCCACTGAAAATCAGCTTGCATGCCGCCTTCGGCACACGTGCCATAGGTTGCCTACCCCTGTTCTAGACTTTCTGATGAAGCAGCAATCTTCCATCAGAAGCATTCCATAAACCACTGTGTTGATTTTCATGTTCCTTTCTATGAAGCACATTGGGAATCACCAAAAGTATCTTGGGCCCCACTTGAGGAGGAAGTGTGGAGAGCTGTAGGATGTGGGCTCATAGGTCTTTTCTGAACCCTTTTCAAAGAGTGGACACAGGGTTTCAGTACAGGTCCTACTAATTCTGTATACAGAGATAATACCTGTTCATATATTAACTCTAAGCAAACAAGTTCTTCTAAAATCTTGTCCTAGAAAGGACTCCTACTTCTTCACTAACATCTCACAGTTATATAGCACTTTCCACAAAGCAAGATTCATCCGCGCTAGAAAGCTGCTGTCTCTAGGGTAGACTTTGGGGGGTTTATGTCTTTATTTTCTCCAGTTTGGGAAGTATGAAATTGACCTGGTCTAACATACTGCTAATTCAGAAATACATTTTAACACATGATCAGAAAACAGCAGAATTACAGGTAGAATTGATAAACAACATGTGATTTAATTGGAATGGATTATTTCAATAAACTAGTTTTTTGGAAAATACACAGCCAAACAATATTTCCCCCAAGGTTTGTACATCATCTAAGCCTTGACTTCCCTTTACCTTAAAATATTGCATTTTAAGTCACCAAGTTTTTTTTATTTTTAAGGTGTTTTGGATATAGGAATATGAAGCCATTCTAGACAGAACCTGAAAGTGTTAGCCTTAGGGAAGGAGCATGCCTGATGTAGTAACTAGATTTCTAGTTATGTATATTTCAAATCATGCTGTGCAGAACATAGGAAAGGGCCGCTACAAATGTCAATCTACACACAGATTGTGATGGGTAACAAGAGTAAGTTACACTGAATGAAGTTTTTAATTAAATATGAATCATGGTAGTCCAAAACAGCTTTAATGGAGGTAAGTTTACTGGCTAGTGAAAATAAAAGTAAATACCGCCTTTGTTTTCTTGAAAACAAAATTTTATGGAAAAATGTACGAGGGGGGTCACTATAAGGTGGAGTCAAATTTTTTAAACAAATTTTACATAGCATTTTTTGACATCTTACGTTAAAAGTAAGAATTTCAGAAGATGAATTTACTGTTCATTACTTCAGTCAGGGCCAAGATTTCACTCGTGTTGTTCATTTGCTGCAGGTATCTCGGTTTGGATGATATACTTTCATATCTATAGTGAGTTTCACTTTTATTTATAATCACTTTCAGGTTTTCATGCAAACAGCACAATGCTATAACCTTTGACCTGTTAAAACTGCAGGGGAATATTATAAAAACTGTTAAAAAAAAGTCATGCAAGTCAATCAGCTGTATAGGGTTAGCCAGATCTTGTTTGCATACAAGAAAAACTAAGCAAGTATGGGATTATAACTAGGAATAATCTGATGAAGAAAAGGAAAATTTATCTGAATATCAGGGGGGGAAAAACTCCATCAGTTGGGGTACGTCTATACTTACCTCCGGGTCCGGCGGTAAGCAATCCATCTTCTGGGATCGATTTATCGCGTCTTGTCTAGACGCGATAAATCGATCCCGGAAGTGCTTGCCATCGACGCCGGTACTCCTGCTCCGCGAGAGGAGTACGCGGAGTCGACGGGGGAGCCTGCCTGCCACGTGTGGACCCGCGGTAAGTTCGAACTAAGATAGTTCGACTTCAGCTACGTGAATAACGTAGCTGAAGTTGCGTATCTTAGTTCGAAGTGGGGGGTTAGTGTGGACCAGCCCTTAGATACATTAACCTGTGGAAATAATCTCTTAAAAGGAAGTAGTGCACGCCATCAGTTGGGATACTTGAAGACAGGACAAAACACAAAATGCTCTGCAGAGAACAAGCTTGCATTAGCAGAGAGGTGATACATTAAGGTTTTTTTCCACCTCACACCTCTAAGATTTTTTTTTTGACTTGACAGTCTCTCTTTACAACTTATAGTCTTTTTCTAACAAGAGAGTGGCATGTAAAAGGAAAAATGTAACAGGAGGCTTTTTAAAGCCACATCACAATGGCCACACACCTTTAGTAAGATAAGATCCCAAACCCCTTCACTGGGCCAGAGGCTGCTGCAGCCATAGGGATATGGGGCAAGAAATACCCCCATGTAAAAAGTAATAGTATCTTTGCAGGGACAGCTGATACATGGAGAACACGGAAGGTAATCTGGCACCAGAGAAAGCACACAATAGATGCAGGCAAGGAGCCAGGATGTTAGAGGAGTGTAGCATGGGATTTTTGCCAATTAAGCTTATTAAACTGTAAAAGTCTTCTGAAGGCAGTGGTGGTAGAGCTAATGCTTGATTCAGTTGAAACTA